TTGCGCATTTTGGAAATTTATTATCACTGGCCTTTTGGAGAGTTTATGTGCAAGTTTTTGATCCCACTTCAGGATGTGTTTGTTTGTGTTTCCGTTGTTACTCACACGACCATAGCTTTGGAGAGATACAGAGCAATTGTGAAACCCATGATGAAAAAAATAACATTGACTGTTACTAGAGCCGTGATTTGTGTCACTTGGTTTAGCTGTTATTTCGCCACAGCTCTACCCATTGCAGTCATCTCTGGCATACAACCGTACAACGGTAAAATGTTCTGCGTAATCAACTTTCCGTCAACAACATTTCGTCAATTCTTTCAAGTCTACCTGGTTGTCGTTTTCATTGTTTTGCCTATAAGCGTTCAAATCTGGGCGTATGTTTGCATGGGCCAAAAAGTAAGCGAAAATATTTTTCTCCGTTTCGCGGCTCAGGAAAGCAAAGGTGATGCACTCGAAGATGACAATCATAAAACTGACCAGGTGAAAAATATTCCACATGATCGACGAGAAACTCTTCGATGGCAAAAGAGATCCTTCGACCTGGCCCGCGATAAACGAAGAAACAGTCTTGTTAGGACCCTCATCATACTGGTTGTTGTTTTTCAAGTTTGTTATATTCCGCGTGGGATATTGATGACTATACGAGAATTTAGTGATCTCTCTGATAGTCGGGTATTCATGTACATGGATGTGTTTGCATTGATACTATATTATATGAAGCATGTCCTCAATCCGTTGATTATATTTTCCAGTAGCAGCGATTTTAGATCGCATTTGAGAAAAACATGATTATAGTTTATCATATATTCTCGCACGTGTAGGATTCAGGTTTGACGCGTCATATGACCAATGCAAATATGCCGCAGCTAAACCTGGGGAATGCCAAGTTTTACAATCCATCAAATTTCTTTGCTCGCGCGCGACTGGTCTAGACGCATCGTGTATCCGAAAATTCCTCAGCTAAAACAGGGAAATATCCCAGAATGTACTCCACGTGATATTCCTCAATTTTCAAACCTTACGTCCATTACGATAAGTCTTCGTTTAAAATCTAGTCGGCAAGACGAGAGAGCATTTTGTGTTTGTTACAGAAGAGGGACATGTTTCTTTTTTCATTAAGTCGTACCTGTTTTTTCATTAAGTCTGAAAAGTTACCATCCCACGCAGCAAAGAGTAAGGTGTTAGTGAAATTTTTCCCCGTGCGTTAATTGCAAAATATTTAAAGGATAATGAACACAATAGCCTCCATTTGATGCGAAAATGTGGTTATGTATTTGTCCTTGGACATTATTCACTCCTCGAAGCTCACTGACTTGAGCTTCGCTTTCCGGGAAACTTTCCTTTCTCAAAACGAACAATGTCCGCTAAGTAATAACCAAGTAAATTTGGCGTAAGTGGGGGCTTTAGTTTAGCTGAACAGTTGAGCTATGAATAGAAAAGAAAACTCAGTCACTGAAAAGTCGACACAAATCTTGTAAATGACCAGCTTTGGCTTAAAAGTCTTGAAATGGTGCGAAAAGCCAATCACAGCGCTAGAACCCAAACTTGGAGAAGGACAGGCCGTTGGTAATACCATGAAGATTTTTATGTGAACATGTAGACGAGCTCAACGCTAGCGTAGTAGTCGCACCACTGGATTGTCATCACGTTTCCTCACGGTCAGTGCTATATTAATTGCAAGAAGTTGAGGAATTGCATATTTACTGTCCGTCATAGTTTTTACGAAGAACATTAAAACTGCTCCTAAATAACTGACAGAAACAAATCGTTTCCTTACCCCTGAATGCTGTAATTTATAACGTTGATGTAGAATGAGGGAAGCCAATATCAGTGGAATGTCCAAGATTCCGTAATGTCTCCAATTTCACTTCATCGCCTGTCTTTCCTCTTTTTTGTCTGTCTCCAAGCTTACGGTAACTATGATTAACGTAGTCTATTTACAAAAAAAACCCGACTTTGCAAAGTCATTTAGTAAAGAGCACCGATTACAGTGAACGTCCAAAGTATCTCAGATATATTATTGCCATTACTGCTGTTTATTATCGTTATCATTATGATTATTTGGCATTTTTTGAAATCGCGGGACATACCTATAACGTTTTGCTCAAACCAAGACGAGATGAAGAGAATAACGTGAATATCGACGCCATCGATGATGCAGAAGATACAACTAGCTTTGCCTGAAATACACTGTTATAATTACTTTACGACCAATTTCCTCCGAAAGACCTTTGTCCTGGTCTAGGTGAGATAAATTTCTGTGCGATGGCAAACTTCGGAACAGCGAAGAGTATAGTTCCAAGAAAAGTTCAAATTGCAAGTTGTCGTATTTGGCAAGGAATTTTGATGCAAATCATTGCAAAAATGCGCAAACTTGATCTAGAACCATTGCTTTGGTTACAACACAATAGCCATTTCCATCCCATACAATAAGTAAATTTACGCAGTTCAGCGACCTTTATAACAAGAACTCTGTCATCCATAAAATGTAAAGCTTCGTTTCACAAACTAGGCCTGTTTTTTCATTTGTTTGGTGAGCCAGATTAAAAGAAATGAGAATCTTATCTCTCAAGTTTTGATCAAACAATTTGGATTTAGTTTTATGAAAGAAAAGGATTCACGAAAGGTTTTCGCATCGACACTATTATGACCATCGTACAGTGCAAGTCAAATAAGAGAACTCGAACTGATTGAGAAAACACGGGACTTGAACAATTAGACAAGTTGATGTGTTTCTTACTAGTGACGAAATCTTCCAAGGATCATTTGCTATGACAAAAAGATAAGATGAAGAGCACTGCTAATAAAATCCAATAATAAAACAGGTTTTTGTCACAACAGCTGGTAATTTAAATCAGCTCAAGTATTGACTTAATGGTATACCGTAATTAACTCATCAAAACAACAACCGTTGAGAAGGGAGTTTAAATACCTTGTTAAAAGCTTTCATAATGCACAGGTCCTTTGGTGTGTCGAGTATCTAACCTACTTGTTGCATGGGGAATTAACGAGGCGCCAAACAGACTCTCGCAAACTAAGTCTGCATAACTAATTATAAAATAATGCTCTCCCAATTAGGCAATAACAACAACCATATTTGAAAAGTCTTTAGAAGTAGTTGTTATTGAAAGATATGATAATTAATCTTGTTTTGTTTTGAATGTCGCTCATTTTGACCAATAATTCTGACCATCTGTTTAAGGATTAAGGCGTTAATGCACTTTGATGTGAAAGGTTTTTTCTATCCTGAATAGAAATTGATCTCGTGCAACAAAAAGTTAAATGAAAGGGGAGACTTTTGTAGCGATTAAATTATTTGTTTTCTCTGTGTGGCCTCAGCTCTGACATAAAACTAATAAACCGTCAAGATATTTAAGAACAACTAACTAAACTAACTAACTAAACTTTCTTTATTACATCAGCCCTAAAAATGATCCTTGTAAGTTGTAAAATAATAATAAGGAAATTAATTTAAAGAAGAAAAAACACGGACGGGTCATTTGGGTCTTTGCTTCATTCGTAAAAGTTCCCAGAATCATTGATTTCAAAGAAAAAAGCTCCCGAGAGTAACAACATTACATGTACAAACATCAGAGCAGGTGTTTTATAAAGCACAAGAATTTCTCAAATTTCCACTTCAACACATTTCAAGTATCTTGGACGTTAAACTAAGTGTGAGCAAGGCTTGCTCTTTCTCGATGTAACATCTCCCCTCGCGATTGTTCTTGGTCCACTTTTATGGATGATACCAACAAAAGTTAATTTGAAATATAAATGTTCGGATATCTTCATCATTTTGTTTGAGGAACATAAAAACAATAAATAAATATTTTTTTTATTGCATGCAAAATTGTTCCTGTTATTCAACTATGAACACCCGTGATTTGATTCAATATCATACCTTCCTTTTTTCGCAGTGATAGAATTTAACGGCAAATCCATTCTCCACTTATTGCGCAAGGTTTCTATAGCATGTTAATTTATGTTTATCGGAGCGGAATCGTTGCGTGTTCCTCACCGCATTAATATTTGCGCGATAGACCCAAAGGGCGTTTTTTGTTTAATTACCTGACAATATTCCGCTCAATAACACTACTTTTTAAGTTTCTGCTCAGTTCCTTATAACGTCATTCAAGGTCATAAAGGAGAGAAGTTTGCAATGAGAGACAGATTAGCGTAGACTAGGCCGAGAGCGGATTCCCGATATCATTATGAAAATTTTCCGACGAATTCTACCAAAACTGTTGAGCTGACCGGCCTTGAGAATGTAGATAATTACTATCGAAAATACTGTTTAATTTCAAATTTTCCAGACTGAATGACTAGTTAACAGAGAAATGAATGATGCTAGTTAGTTGATCAATCATTGCGAGTACAGTTATTCTTTCAGCAAATTCAAGTAGTAAGGCTGAAATTTCAGCCCAATTTTGCCCTTGTTCTTTAAAATATGATTAACATTAGGAACTCTTTTTCTGTCATAGATTACAATAATACCTCGTTTATTCCTATGAGGTTCTTATAACAGCTACTTCATTGCAGTCAGAGGAGAACTTAAAATAACACTACAAACTACATCATTTTACTGATAAACGAACACGAATCGAACGAATTATAAGGCTTTTTTGAGTTGTCGTTTAGTTAGTACAAACCGCTTTTAAAGTGTGTAGTGCCTACTGATGAACTACAAGAATTCCATCTTATTCCAGCTTAATCCGTCTGGGAAAACAAAAAAACCATAACAACAGCAAAAATTTGTAGGCGCCGCATTAAATCTTCAAGCGGCGTCTAAATATTTTTTCCTTTATTTCTGCTGCATTGTTCAGCTCAAGGTGACAAAGACTAGAGTAATTGAATGTTCGAGTTTAAAAGTTTTCTATTTTTGTTTTGATTGATTGACTTTTTTGTTGGTTTTTTTTTTTTTTTTTTAGTTTTCACCACAATTAGGAATGCAAAAATGGCATGCATCTTTTCCCAGTTCGGGAGAAAAAGACAGATTACTTTCAACAGCAAAATCGAAACTCGCTGCTTGTGCTCCAAAGAATAACAGGGTTTATCATATGTTTGATATAATAAGCGAAAAGAGAAATTACGTCGGAATACCAGTAAAACTGGTTTTCCTCCATCGCTTCGTCGCCTTCAAATTCTCTTATCAGCATCAACACACCTCGAGGAATTGAACAACACTGGAAAACTGCTACAAGAGACACCAAGACTTTGACCAAGCGAATCTTTTTCTTGCTTCGTTCAAGGATATCTTTCCTGATCGAGTTCTTCTTGGTAAGTCGGTCCAGTTCACGGTTGGCAACCATGAACACGTTTACGTAACACCATGACTGGATGAATAAAGGTACTGCGATGAACACTATTACGAGGTAAAATTCGTACACGCGGCGGACTTCATCGGATGGGAACTCCGGAATGCAGTATACTTTCCCGTCGGGTTCTTGATAGAGATCAAGCATAACAGCTTGAGGCAAAGCGGCGCTTATATAGCAGGCTAACCAAATGACAGCTACCGTGATCTTTGCCATCTTCCAGCTCATTCGCTCTTTAAACGGCTGCACGATTGCGCGGTATCTCTCCAAAGCGATGGCTGTGTGTGTCATCACCGAAACACTGACGAAGAGTTCTTGAATGGAAGCGAGGAAATTGCACATGAAACTGCCAAAAGGCCAACCGATGTAATTCTCAATAATCCGCTGAGGGGCAGCAATGAGAGCCATGCCAAGATCGGCCACAGCGATGCTGAGGATCAACGAATAACATGGGGCTCTTAACTGCTGGCGACCGATGATCGCGATCACGATCAGTAAGTTCCCTGGAAAACCAGTGGCTATTACAAACGAAAAAAGTACTGTGGGTAATACTGCTGGCTGGTCTTCGGAATTCGTCGAGTTACTGTCGGGTAAAGACGAATTCACATCCATGCTGGGGTCCCGCTCTGCGTTTCAAACACTGAAACAACTGGGCTTTCAATCGCACTGTTCTTCAATGCTCGAAGACCAACAGCTTCGCGTTTTCGTGGCGGAAACTATTCACAACGGTGTCGTCAATTCATCAACAAAGGATTGAATAGAAAGCGATTGAAATCGATCCTTTAAATGCGTAAATTCATTGTAATGCTCCGATAAACGACTTCCGAGTTTTTGCGGCGATAGTCTGTTTTCTTGCCGACGCGAAATAACAATCTTAGGCACATTATCAGGCGCACGCAGAGAGCGTCAAATTTTTCAAAAATCAATGTCAATATGCTGGATGGATTTAATAATTTCAAATTCCAAACAGTAGATCTACCGGTTTATGAAATTGAAAACGAAAATACGTCGGCGGAATAATTACTTTGTGAGATCATTGTTATTGTGAGGAGAACAATTACTTCGCGATTTGCCTAAAAGCTTTTTCCGTGACTTCCATTGTTTTGAAAGCAGGAGGCTGTTTACATGGGTGAACCATCGTGGAGGAGATCTCACCGTTGCTAACGAAAAAAAGAACGCAGCCCATTAGGTTATTACTAGCTTGGAGACTGCAAAAAAAAAAAAAATGTGGTGATCTGCAAATGCAATGAAGGTTAATAGCAGCAAAAATAATCTTAATGAGTTTTAGGTACCTTATTTTGTACGATCCACTTTAAAAATCTTTGACACTTCAGGGTTGGAGATAGATTACAGAAACAGTTGAATTAAATTTTCAGCTTGATCACGCAAAGAACATAAATAAAATTTCATGCACTAGACATTTATTCATTTACGCCGCGAATCCCAGCAGGTTGTCATTTTAACCACTTGATTTTGTTTTCCAATAAAGTAATCAGCTTGTTTAAAATTTAATATAACAACGATGCCAGCGGATTTAAAACCTTACCTCTCACATATATGACAGAAGTTTAGAATTTAAACTGCGACCCCAAACCCTTGGATGTGTTGCTGAAAAAGAAAGATGAAATTCAACTTGAATGATTTTTTATCGAAATTTAAAACGAATCGTTGCTAAGCTGCTCGGTAAAACTAAGCCATGAAAACTAATTTACTTAGTTCCGTCATATACATAAAATATTAGGTATTCGGCCATCAGTATATTATGTGTGAATGTTAAGTTTAGAGAACCAAAGAATATGTTGTAAGGACGTCCGAAATGATTGGAAAATTTTTTTTTACGAAACATTTTGGCACACGTGCGCGTATATCATGCTGAAACCTGTCGACCTTGATCTTTTGGGGTGTTTTTATTTCTCTTCAAAATACAAAGGGAATTAAATCAATGAATTTTTTCATTTAATTCTTCAACCATTGCACGTATATTTTCAATTATTTCCCAGTGACTGTGACTGACGAAAGAATCGCTAACCCCCTGTGCCCACCGAATCCCCCTTATCGGATAAAAACGCTTACTCAGGAAATTGCTTTAGGAATAAACAAAATTGGAATATAGGAAAAAGAAAAAATTCTAAGAAAGATTTGTACTTCAAATCCGAAAAAAAAAAAAAAAACAGATCAAAGGCTCTTGTTCATTCCAAGAAATTTAAATTTCCTAAAATAGATGTGAAATGGTTGATAAGTCGCAAAGAATGTCCCAACTTAAACGATTCAATTTTGTTTTACTTCCTATTGTTTGTTTGCAAACACGTTTTAAAGCCAGTTCTGTATCAGTAGTAGTCGTGCTTTTACCTTTTTTCACTAGTATACAAGAATTCGAAGTGATCCGAATGACCCGCCATGGGGAAAAAAGCACTAAGGTTAACGCACGGGCACGCGCTTGTGTCATGCATGACACGGCACGCTAAGCGAGTTACAAATTTGCAAATATGCGCATATTTATTAGGCAAAACAAGGACAGACAAGATTAGGTGTTTGGGTTTGTGTTTCAAACAGTGTGCTATATGACACAAACATATCCACTAAAAAGGTGACCAGAGGAGACAAGCATATCAGCTAGAGACCCTTAATACCAAATTCTCCGATAATTTAAAGAAAATGTAAAGCACTTGAAAGGAAAATTCAAGAAAACGGATTGTGATAATGACCGTTGCGCGTCTAAAGCCAAATCAGTCAGCCACCATCCGAGATTGTTCCAAAGTCTTTGATTGCAGGTTTCCCCAAACCATTGAACCCGATTACAACGTGGTTTTTTTTCGTTACTCAGTAATAATCATTCATAATCTTTCATTAATTTTAATTTTAGTTGCTTTTTCTGTGATTTTCCGAGAGTGATGGGGTTGTGTACTCAATCAGTTGAAGCCGCATCACTTAAAGTGCAATTTTACCTCGGGGTTTGTCGGTGCAGCTTTGGATTATAAAAATATCACAGTGGTGACCAATATAGAAACTAGAATCCCTGCTATGCAATCGGCAAAGACAAAATGAAACAACCAGAAAATAAATTAATAAATTGTACGAAAAATAATAAAAATCGGAATGTATGCATTTGCGTTTGCAAAATGGCTGGATATATTTTCTTCGTTCATACACCCTCTCAAAAACGGTGTAAAACGAATCTAGTTTTGTTTTTTTTTCTTATTCTCCAGTATTTTGTATGCCTGTTTATTTTCTTATATATATTGATTACAATGAACCTTTTTTGATTCTGATAACGGGGGGTTTGGAGATATTTTTAGAAAAAAAATCTCTTAACATTTCGGTAAAATGTGACACCAAATTAACGACAGAACATCAATCACGGCTAAATGATAGCTCTTTGCTAGCTTGGCTACTATTTATTTTATAAAAACTTCTGAAATTCCAGTTCACCTGAGTTGCCGCTTTGCTGTTCACAATCAGGGCATCACCGACTTCGAGACTTCGGAAAATAATTCTCACCTGAACCTTTTTTTACTAGTCTTTACTTCAATAAATCTCTTATCATAACCAAAAAATTGGCGATATTTAGACGCCTTCTTAGTATTTTCATAGCAGCACTACCAAGTTCTTGAATGATGATGATAAAAAGTCGACAAAAGTGCATTTAAAAAAAATCACTGATCTTGATAAGAAGCGAGATGGTGTGCGATTCGCCTTTGTATGCTTTTCCATTCATTGTTGAGTTCTTACCATTTTCCCCTGGCTTTGAACTGTACAATGAGGAGGCCATCGTGGAACGAAAGTTTTCGGCACCTAGGCCTCCACAAAAAAAACACAGATGACAAATATAGGCGCGCTTTTGTACCAAGTTTAACTTTCTACGAAGCGCTCGAAAACCGCCTAGAGAAATTGGTGTTATGTACTATATGTACCACTGATTTTAAAATAAATTAAACCCAAATAAATTGGTGGAAATATCTACTTAATCGAAATGTATTGTCTATATCTATACAATACTCAACTAAAAATTACCGCTCCAAACACGAAAAGGCAAATAGAGCAAAGTAAGATCCGGTTTTTGAGGAATATTTAAATACGATGAAGTCGTTATCAGTGTTCTATTTCGACCTGAGTTTACGGATTAATTACGCTCGAAAACAAGAAGTACGCTCTTTTCAGTTGATTAGTTGCTGCAATATTTCTGTTGTTTCGATACGAATGAGTGTGCACAACATTCAACACCCACTATCGAACATTTAAATTTTGATGTCTTCCTGATTAGTAGAGGCTTTCATTTGCAAACACTGACGTTGTAAACAAGTCTTCTTCTTATCTTTTGTAGCCGTATCGACATCTACATGAAATAAAAATGCAGACTTGTTCTGTGGCACTTTGCAATAATCGTCTCACTTTGTTATGCTTGTCGTAGCTTCTCGGCACGCACTTTGTAATAAAAAAGTTGTGGCTCTATGTAGAGACCACTTTGTAAAAAAAAAACAAAGAAACAAACTGTCACTCTTTGTAATAAACTTGGTCTAGACGGTCGGAGAGCACGAAGACCCAATACTAGCCATCATCCTTGCCAATGATAATAAAAGTAACAAGAGTAATTATGTACATGAAAACATTACGGGCTTCTGATCGGCTGAAACGAGTGCATTCTCATGTCACACGAGTGCAAAGTTGTAAAACAGTGCAAACTGCAAATCGCGCGCGCACGCTTCAAAATTTGGTCCGTCTCGACTTTCTTTGATGTTTTTTCATGTACATTATTAACAAGTACTTACATGATTTCTCTTGCAATTTGATGTAACAAGCACTTGTAAATTTTTCAAAAACTACAAATTGCACTTGCCCCTACAGGCTTGTGCAATTTTATTGTCTTTGGAAAATTTACTCATGCTTATTAACACCAAATTGCGCTCGAAATTATCGGTTAATACCCATACAAAGTGCGACAGGTCTTACAAAGTGCGACAATTTTATTACAAAGCGCGACAGAGCACTGTACCAGCTGGTGAAAAAACTGAAATTACAGCATAGCTACCCAAGATCAACTTAACCTAGAGCTACTATAACTGTTTTCAAAGCAGACGGAGAGAGCAGTTGCTAGAACAAAAAATTATCTTTCAAATCGGAAGTCATAATTCCCAAGGTATCCTTCAACTAATTTATTCTTGTTTCTCGTCCTCGTGTTCCCGTGTACTCCATTTTCTGCAGATAAACACACACACAACCCACAATACCTCCATTCGCTCGGACGAAGGGCTAACGCCCGAAACATCAGCTTTGAAACACTTTACGGTGGCCAATTTATGTTATCAACTCAGTTGATAACACTAAACTACCCTTAATTATAAGATCCTTGATTTGCCCAGTTTCCGATTACTTTAGATTGAAATCACCATAATTTTCCGTCATTCTGTAGATAGTATCAAATTTTCCAAGAACAGACGGTTCATTTTATTTACGCCTCTTTTTCCACGCCTCTTGTGAGTAATGTTTCATTTGACGAAAGTTTTCTACGTTAGTCAATTTTAGGTCAACTGTATGTATAGTCCAGTTTCTGGCCATCATTACCGCTGTGGGAAGAAAATCGGGATGCCAGCTCGCAGATGCACTTCAAATCATTTTCTCTTTATTTCTTCGCAAAGATATTTAGCGACCGTATTTTAGACACTCGAAGAAAAACCATTTCTGCGGGGTGAGGGGACAAGCAACATCCCTGAAGTGGGTCGTGTTTGGTAATCGCTGTTTGTGCACTCTTTCTCTATATAACCACATCACAAATTAATTTGGAAATTATGCAATCATTTCATAAAAATTCTCCAAAGTAGGTTTTGAGCAATGAACTTTTTATTGACCGGAAAATTATCTGTCAGATCAAAGTTTAATTGTTGCTAATATCTCTCTTCTTAGACTAGATAACAGAGATAAACTAGTCTATGAGAACGGTTCGCTGCGCATTTTCATCTTTAATCTAACATTCCGCCTCTTATATTTCCAACTGAGTGTGTTAGTGTAGGTAAGAGCATGACTTGTAGTGATATTTGGCAATAACACCGAGAATAATATTAAAAATTTTCCAAAATACCACGGGCCGCCAGGCGGTGAGTGGTGTTTTTGACAATTTTGAAATATTACGAGCCGGTGTTATTGAAAAATACCACGTACAGGTCATGCTATTATTTTTTTTATAGTAGAAGCCAAGACATTTTCGGTGACGCCCAAGATAATTTTATTTTGTTACGGTTACAAAAACGAACAAAGGCGTCTGCATCCGTAAAAATCTTTTTAACTCGATGAACAAAAAATGGACAGTTTTTTTGTGAAAACAGTACAAACCAATGAAGGCAAATAACATGAAATATTTTAATGAAAGAAATTTTTACTAATTTTTAGTAACTGCAGCGGTGAAGCGAAACCACAAATTCGGTTTGCTACAAGCAAGCTTTTTAATTGCTGCTCTATTAATAAACACCGACACCAGCTACGTAATTTAACGTCACCTGACCATGAAAGTGGTGGACTACTGTTTGGCAGGCTGGAGTCGCTGTATGGTTGCGCTGAATGGGCAAACTACAATCGCTTTTGCGAATTTCTGGAAAGAATCGAGAGGGACGATTCGTCCTGTTCTTTAACTTCGTATTTTACAATATCATCGTTAAGACCCTTACTTTCTGCCCACGACTTCCCAAAATCCATTCACGTCTCAGTCGTTTTGATTGAATTTTTGTTTATTACTTTTTACGGCGAGCTTTTGTATTTCCTCACCGGTGATTTCCCGGAATCTTACCGGCAATTTTTTTGAAGACAAAAGCAAAGACGTAATTGTGTTCAGTATTGTCATGGAAACCTTGTTCTATCATCCATTCTTGCTGTTATACCGTTATTACACTGAAATAATGATACTGCCAACCAATCAAATCTCCCAATTTCTCGATTTACATTATAATATGTGGTAACGTAGGTGTGAAAGGAAATACATAAATATCAGCAGCAGAACTTTACCTCAACTCGATAACATTACTTAGTCCTCCGCAGTTTCTTTGCCCAAAAGCTTGCCAAAACTATCCATCGGTTGCTGAGATATTCAGATTTCTTTCGGAATACTCCACTGTGAGGAAATTGAAATAACCAAAGAAATATATGGGCGGAAACATTTTGGCCCTTAACGTATAACGACCGGAAACTGGGAAACACACTGTAAAATTAAGGTATCGGATTTATGTCTGTCTTCATTAAATTTTTTTTAATTTTTTAACGTCGCTGAGTTAGTTACTCGTCACGGAGAATAGATATGAAGCGAAGGGCTTTTTGAAGGCAGAAAATTTATTGAGTGACGCATGCCCAATTCATCACACTAAACGTAATCAATATGCCGCGGTCAAGAAATCATAAATAAATAAAGAAAGAAAGAAATTAGCATTGACCATGGTCGCTCTATGTTGTCACCGTGTTTATGTTGGATAAATCATTTTTAAACTGTTTGATTTAATACAATTATGGTTTTACTAATTCATAATTACAGGTAACCACCAAAGGGAGAGAAAGAATATATAGTAATGATAGTGTTAGTGATAACAATAATCATTCATCTATCTCCGTTGAGCAAAGTTTGAATTGAAGTGAAATTTAAAACGCAACACAAACCATGATGTAAGCGCGTAGAGAGGACGGAGAGCTGTAAAATAAAAGTTTTATCATAAATTAAAAGACGGATTGTTGCAGGCCCTAGTCGGAAATCATACTCACTTATTCCTTTGTCAGCTAACGGCAGCCCGTACAAAACATGCCTTTCAGAATTTGCTCACCGCAGCTAATTTTCCATGTTTACGATCGTCATTTCCTTTAACTGACTCTGGTAAATAATAAAGGCCAAGAATGCTGATTCGCCGCTTTTCTGTTGATTAACAGATAACCTGAATAGGGGAGGAAATGGAACCAGGTGGATTGAACACACAGTGGCTAAGTTTCTCGTAACATCGGCAACTTAGCGTTTCAAACACCAATCACTCATGAGGATTATGAACCTACTCTGAAGCAACGTGTTTCGGATAGTCAAACTGGAAAATCTTGTGAGGTGGGCGTAGTTTAAACTTTTAGTACCGTAGGATAACTTGAGCAAAAGCATTCACTAAAGACAGGGGGAGAAAAAAAAGCATTTTCAATTGATTTTGTTTCTACGTGTTAAACCAAAAGATAAACTTCACGGCCCTTTTTAGATAAGCTGTTATTCGTCGTCCTACCAGAAGTTAGCGTAATTCTAACCGCAGACGACGCAAGTATATTAAGTAAGTAAATTTGAGAACGATTTCAAAACACTTTAATTGAACCTCTTTAAAGAAATTGTGGGGGAGGTTTCTTTTTCTTAGAGCTTTATGCGATTTAGGGCAAAGTGCAAATATCTAAACGAATGATGCCCCTGACGTCAGTCTGCTTTTTTGTATATTAGCGGTTCGGTCTTTTATGGGTTTTACCGCAGCTGTTTATTTAGACAGCGGCGAAAAAACGATAAAAAACGGTTTTTAAAGATTTTATATCTTTTCCTTAGTAATTTTTTATGACAACATAATTTTGTTATAAGGAGGTAAGAAATAGCGGTCGAAGATCATGAACCATTTTTTCATATAATATAGCTTTGCACAGGTTTCGCAAAAGCGTCCGTCTTGAAGACTGCCGGAAACTTCTTCCGCATCAGAAAACCCCTTATGGGGTCGAGCTTGATTTTTTCTTATTTCACATGACGCTAGCCGATTTCTGTCCGCTGCAACGTTCTTTCCGCTGTTCAATTTGACATCAGATTGCGTTTTTTAAAGCATGGTTAATCGTTACAAAGATTACCAAGGCTAGCGTCTCCAAAAACTGATTAATATTCTTGCGTATAAATGTTTCCTACTGCTGTGTTTCAAAACGTTCGCTTGGTAGGGTTCCGGCGAAGAAATTTTGAATATTACCGAGGGCAAAATTACCGTAAGAAAAACAGGAATTCCTCATTTAAAGATTGTGTTCGTGGAGAAGAGTTTGAGTTTTAATTACTCATGAATATTTCAGTTTGACACAAGTACCAATTTTACTTTTGTCTTATGGCAGGATTTTTTGGAAAACAAAACGAGCTCGTAAATTAATGATACGCCGAAGTCATTGAAAGCTTGAACGAAGCGACCTAATCGTTTAAATAATATATGGCATCCTCGCCTTTAAGAAACTCCAGCACCGAAGTTTCGCTTCCAAATCGAACCATGGAGCATCAAGGAAATGACAGCAGTGTACGAGGGCATCAAGGTGAACTCTTCGACCCTCTAACGTACAAAATTATGGTCATCACGTTCTTTTCTGTGATCTTTGCGTTTGGTTTTCTCGGCAATGTGTCAGTGCTTGGAACGATTTTAAAATTGAAACAATTAAGAAATCCTTGTGGCTTTTTAATTGGCACTATCGCTTTGGCGGACCTAGGTGTCGCCTTAATAGCTGCTCCCTTAAGAATTGCTGAATTGTACCTTCAGGGATGGCCATTCGGAGATGCACTCTGTAGACTTATCGTCCCACTTCAAGATGTGTTGGTGTGCGTTTCGGTGGTGACTCATTCAACAATCGCTTGGGAGAGGTATAGAGCCACTGTAACTCCGTTCAAGCCCCGGCTATCAGCGACGAAGATCAAATTTGTCATCTTGGGAATATGGGTATCTTGCTACATCTTCAGCGGACTGCCACTGGTGATTCCGCTGAAGTTGCAGCCCTTTAAGGGAGCTCTGCATTGCCTTCCGGCTTGGTCCGACCTTTATCGCAGAATATATGAAATCTATCTGGTGCTGGTGTTCATCGTGGCTCAGCTTCTCATTCAGAGTTATGCCTATGTGAGCGTCATCCGAACCCTCAGGAAAAAGAGTGATATACTTCAGATAGCCGAAAAAGATCGGAAAATCTCAACGGCTTCAGGCGCGTCGATTCCGTTTAACTCGAGCGCCCCGTGCGCCGCAATGGTCGCGCGGATGAAACGGAAGCGAAAGCTGGTGAAAATGCTTCTGGTTTTGGTGATAGCTTTTCAGATTTGTCACCTTCCGCGAGGAGTTACGATGTTGTATCGAGAATTCGCTGATCCTTCACTAATTACTCCTACGTTTCATTACATCGATCTTGTAGCTTTGGCGCTATACTATCTCAAACACGTTATAAACCCACTGATTTTGTTCTCGATGAGTGGAGACTTTAGAAGTGGAATCGAAATAATTCTCGGCTGTTGTAAAAAGAGAGAGCGAAGTGAAAGTGACACCGAATCGACAAAACTTGTTACAAGGCGTTTAGAGGACACACCACCACTCGAGAGAGGAGTGAACATTTTAGAGACAACAGTCTAAAATCAAACTTTCTCGACGTAGTGTTAGCGACAAAAACAAAATTAAGAAACAAGAAAAATTTAAAATTGTATTCTATTCAAAATTCGAAATGCGAATGAAACCATTCGCGATGGAAATCGACCAATACTCGCTTCCTAGTCTAAATTATGGTTTTATTGACATGAAAAGTTTCATTAACTTGATTTAAAGAAAACTTTAATTCCTCCATGGCATAATATATTATAACAAACTGTTCAAAGACAAATGATTTCTACAATTTTCAAAGTTATGTAAGACCATTATCAAAAGCCATATTTAATTTCGTGTATGTAAAGAAGTTTGAAGTCGGACAAGAAGTTTGAGTGAAAAATTAATAGCTTGAAGGAAGTTTGTTCCGGTTAAATTGTGGTGAATTAATTAAGTGCTCACCTGTTTGTTGAAAGCCGCTGCAAAGCGGGGGTGGGAAGATAATTAGCGGATAAGACAGAACAATAAAGAGAAATGACATTGTTTACAATACAGGTTGTCTAAAATTTGAATGGTGACCATTAATCTCGCTGATTCACCATTGATAAGAGGTGCACTTCAATTGATTTTTCACGTGGTTTGTTGCTAATGGATGTCACTTGCATGACACAGTCAAGCAGGCTAAATCAATTTGTTTACTTGTTCCGCAAAAACCGCAGAAAGCTGGGGTGGTGTGTTGTCATGTTAGACGTATACAAAACGGAAAATTAAAAGAAAACCCATAGCTGATAAACTTTGTATTCGAAAAGTCTTGAGTTGCCTTTTCCCTCGTTCTGTTTCCTTTAACCCCCCCCTTCTTTTTTTGGGGGGGGGGTGAGACAGCGGTTATTTCTGAAATTTACCTTTGAAATGTGCAGGGTGCTCGGATGGCTGGAGCTGATCCATTTGCGCATGCCTTTCGCTCGATCGCTGTCTGGGTACCGTTTATCGTATCATCACGTTCATTGCTACTGCACATCACTTACGACAGTCGGAAGCGTCTATAGAGTTGAAAGACCTGCAGGTGGTCTGTCACGATTGTACAAGTTGCACGAACAAACAGCACCACCATAATATTATACACAGTAAGCTCGTTTGTTAAATTCGCTCCTAACTTCTATACAACAGGCTATGCTAAATCTAGGTCATCTTTGACTGATTATAATGCAGTGTCCTCTACACATTTCACATAAATGCTGAATTTTTTCGAGATTCTTGTGGCAATTCTATCTATTAATAATTGATGTCAAACGATTTGGTTTTGTCTACAAAGCCTCAGGGCAGAGGAGTTTTAATTTAGTTAGACTTTGAATCTTGCAAACATCCCAGACTGATTTGCGACCCCCCGGAGCTAAACGCCGAAAATCAGCCATGACAGCGCAAAAAATTCAAAGGAATAAAATAATTTAGAAGCGGGATAATGTGATCGCCTTAATGGGTCCAATCGTTTCTAAAATCATGGGTATATATCGCAATAATCCTGGCGATCATAAAGAAAGTAGTCCGGAGTCCTCATGCAAAAGAATGCAAAGTTCGCTGGGGTTAAGTTTTCAGCGTCAATCAGGGACATTTCATGGGGCTGCCACGCACAAGAAATGGAATTAAGACTATAACGAGCTTTGAATGAAACTATTAAGCCCCTGAGAGATTCAAGTTGCTGCAAGTGCACTCTAACGCCATACATGTGATCATAAAAAAAACTACTTTGTTAGCGCAAAGTGTTAACATATTAAACAAAGAAAATGCGTCTCATTGCGCTGTCCATGCTCTATTGTTACCCTTAACGATTGCAGAATTACAGATTAGAAAAATTAGAGCGCCATAGCATGACGACCGCGATAATCTGGAGGAAAAATTTAGTGAATTGTTTGCCCAGAAGACTGAAGTTATTGAAAGGTCTAATGCGTTATGTAATAGGACTTTCATCTGACATAAACTTCCTTCCTCGCTAAATTCAGACAGACAATCTCAGATTTATTCTTTTTCACCTCTGGGTTTTAGTTTTCTAACTTTTAAGAGTTCAAACTTTGATTCTGGTATTAGTTTACAACTTAATTTCGACCGCAATCGCCACCACATAAAAAGGCATTTTGCGGAAAAGAGAAGGAAACCAAAAACCATGGAATCAAAACGTATCCGGCACTAAGCGGCAGCCATCCGAATCGAACATGTCAATCCACATATAGCTCAAAACAGCTAAGGAAACACCATCCCGAGTTGTTTTAAATGTTTTTAACCATTGTTTTTTCGATGAAAAACAGTATCTGTTTGATTATAATAAATGGTTGCATTTCTTTGTCAAGTGTTGCTCGCTAAGTCAAGTTTTCGAAGTAACCTTTAACCATTCATAAAAAAAAATTAAATCGTTGACGAAAAGTTTCTGTCAGTCTTAAAAACACCCACGTGCAAAAGGTCACGAGCTTTTAAGAATGATCTCTTCTGCCGCATGCAAAGATATCAACGGCAAAAAATTTGAAGACAGCTCCAGCGTTGGAAGTCTCTGCTTGATGCAAAAAGAATGATCGGATTCAAGACGTGTTTTAAGTAATAGATTATAAGAATCACAAGATCAGCATATTTGAAGCTGGTCCAGTCCACGCTTTTTATGCCAAACTCATAGAACATAAGCATCACCGCTCGAGGAATATAACAAACTTGAAACGCAAACACCATAATCGCCAGAGTTTTGATAACACGTCGGCGCTTTTGGTATTGTATCGCGCGAGACAGTATATTTCGGTCTAACGCCATGGCACACATCGGCGTCAATCTGTTTTGTAGTGCCTTCATGATCCTAAAGTATGCCATAGTTTGTATGACAAGGGGAACGGCGATGAACAATGTCACTAAATATACTTGGTATATCGGGCGATAGAGTTCAAATGGCCATTGTGGATAACACCGATCCAAACCGTCGATCTCTTGAACCTTTAAAACGGGGGCTATCGGAAGCGCAGAAGCTACGTAGCACGCCGGCCATATCGCGAAGATAACGAGCTTGGTGTTTCGAAGTGATAAACGCGTTTTTAAGGGTCGCACAATGGCACGGAACCTTTCCAGGGCGATAGTCGTGTGCGTGACAACCGATACAGTAACAAACATTTCGAGAAGAGGAAGCAGGACGCTGCATAGAAAGTTTCCAAACGGCCATCCCACAAACGCTTCGATGATCCTCAGAGGTGCTCCTAAGGAAGCAACTGCCAGATCGCCCACAGCTATGTTCACGATGAGGAGATTGCAAGGTGTCCTCATTTCTGGCCAGCGATACACGGTAAAGACAATGATAGAGTTGAGCAGGACCCCAAAAAAGATCACACCCGAAAAGAGAATAGCCAAGGCGGTGTTATACGTTTGTTCGTACGAATCCACGTCAAATCCAATTGTCGGCGTTGGCAATGATTGCGCTGACGTTTTCTCTGGAGAGGGGGAGGAAATATTCCACAAGACGGTCGAAGTGGGTGAAGCCATCGTCTTCTTCGGGCTAAACTGTTTTCAATCCTGAATTATCTTTTTATCTAGAAGTCAATGATGGCCAGTGAACTCAATTAGGCTGATTTGCAGTGGTGGCATATTTCATCAAACAAACATGATACTCTGCTTAATGACACATGGCGGCATAATTCGCCACAGCCAGCAGCAGTAAACCATATGAAAAACAAACACCCTGTGTTATTATTATGATTCTCTAAGAGCTCATTTTCATTTTATCATGAACAGAAAATATGATACGTTTTACATGCCACGAATACCGTCACTTCTCCATAAATTTTTCCCAGCGTGGGGGGGGCCGTCAGTTTGCCTGACGAACTCATTTAGATTTACCTTTCAAAAAAAATTTGTCGTGCAAATTTGGCTAACTTTCCACCCAAGTTTTTTATCCATGCTTTTGAAGGTCAGTTATAAAACTTTTTCCTCCCTACTAGGTTCGTCTCCTCTATTGCGACAATGTTTCCTTAAAAGAATGGCAAAACTCATTTCCTTTTTCCGCCAGAATCTGTACTGTTTTTAGTAACTACATAGTAAACAAATACTAAGCCTCCCTCCCCTCTTAAAACCACACTCAAGACACCACTCCCCCCTCCCTTATAATATAACAATTCGCCAAGGTCAAGTGTAACTAAACATGCTGGAACACTTCTCACCTCAAAATACGTGGCTACGTGTTCAATTTACCATGAGGATCCAAGTGCATACCAGCCCAGATTTATTTCAATTGACGCAATAATAAACAACTTAGAAAACCTTATTAGCACGGTTCTTGGTGTTTTTTTTTTTTTTCTTTTTTGCCTCAAAAGGTTTCTCCATGGGTATGTTCGTTCAGACCCGGAAATACCTTAAATTATACACGATTGTAAAATAATCTTTGATGGCAAATGGTTAAATGATGTTGAATGCGCAAACTTTCGGGGCCACAGCAAAAGGATTGCAGTCAGAGGAGGAGCAAAACAAGAATCTTATCGACAGGTCAAGATTCCTATCAAAACTTAAATATAAGTCTCGTAATCTTTCGTGTTTCTTGACAACGATGCATGTCGAGCTGGTTTTAGTGTTGACGTTCCTTAGCAGTAAAAGCGGTTTATACCCCAAAATCTAGCCCAAACCAGCTCGCTTACAAGTGGATTTATGTCATTTAGTCTTTACTTTGTATGTTCTGGCTCAAGAGCAGCAGAAAATTTATTAATTAAAAGGATAAGTCCTTGTCAGGCTTTATCTTTTGGTCTGAGGTCACTTAGTGCATTCACCCAACAGTAAATAGCAATTTTGTCTGCGTGCTCAGAGCGAAATCTATACAAGAAAGAGAGAGGGAGTGGTCAAAAGAGCTAGAAATAGTCCTAACAGTTTTAACTCAGGATCAAATTAAAAAAGAAAAAGATAGCCACGAAAACGATATCGGATAAGCTATGATTAGCTTTAATTTCGCATCAAGCCCGATATGATTTATCACCGTTTTGACTGTGAATAGTGAGTTCAAATTCCTAAACCACATATTTTCCCAATCTATCCGAAGCCTGCTAAGAATTGGTGATCATTTTCCCTGCGGGAAACTAATTGGCCCCTGCCATACTGAAGTTCGTGAGTTTGGAGTTACCATTCGTTAATCAATCATATTTGTTGTTAGCATTCAGAAATGCTTCCATGGAATGTCACCGATAGTAACCATGGAAAGCAGAGCTTTGCGGGATCGGAATCAAATGTAAACATAGGCATGCGTAGCATGCAATTTTTTTTCTTGGCCGGGTGGGTTGAGGTGGGACAGTGTGTACTTAATGTTTTCATTTTTGTCATCGAAAAGGGCACAAGTTTCAAAAACTAAAATATCTAAGAAGGGCAGAAAAAACCTAATTTATCTGAACTCACACAGATATTATGTGGTCTATTGTCTCTATTGCCTAAATATTTCTACAGAAAAATTAAATGCATCGGTGCCACGCTTACTGTTGTCTTCTTCGCAGCCGTTTGGTCTCGTTACACAACGCCCTCTATTTTGAAAGAGAGCGCGTTGCGTGACGAGACCAAATAATTATTGCGAAAAGAGACTAAGCCTGATGCCGTTTCTCCAACAGAGAGAAAATCAAAATTATTCGTCTACAGTTTACCTCAAAAATATAACCCCACGTAAAGCAAACTGAAACTCTGTTGTACCTCTAACAGACCCCAATGAAAGATATATTGCGATCTTGAATAAGTGAAGATACATTGAGCAAGAGAAAAATATTTCAAAGAGGGCTCCTTGATTGGTTTTTCCCTATCTGGACTTTGCCCTCTGAGTGTGAAATACGTGATAAAATGCAGGTTGTTATTAGAAGGAATTAACACGCAATTGGGTTAAGTATAAGCTAACTTAAAGAAACCTTAATTGGCAGAAAAAGTCAAATGCGGGAGAGTTGCGTGGACAATTCAATATCAGCAGCATTTAGCTCCATGTGAATTTTTTCAGTGGGGTTGGACAATGCAGTTAGAATACATGATAAAATGCAGGTTGTTTACAAGGAAATGACACGTGATAGAGCGAAGTATTATGTGGCAAAACGGAATTTGATTGGTGGAATACAATTCAAGCACGTGAAAAAATACCTAATGTTCATGTGGTGCAATGATTAAGTATGTTCTGATTGGACTTTAAAAGCTGTTTTCATGGTAGGTGATGGAATTTAAGTTGTTTGGTGTGTACGTTGTGGGTAAAGGAACGGAAAAAATACGTTCTAACTTAAAAGATTTAAATGCGAACCTTTCATATCCAGATAAATCTTGACCCGAGTCGACGAGGCTTTCGCGAAAGCCACAAACCATTACACTTAACATATGAGCCCAAAATTTCTGATTAATGTCATTCTTTGTGCACAGCCTCCTGATCCAGGACATCATTTACAAGAAAACAATACCCAAACGCTGTGATTGTAGCAAGATATCCAGATGCTGTGATAAGAATGGTGCGAGATACATACACCAATGCGGCAATCTGATTGGAATGAGATACATACCCTAATGCGGTGATTTGATTGGTGCGAGCAACATACCGCTGTATATGCTAACATAGAGTTATTTTCTTTTTGAAAAAAAAAAAAAAAAACTCCAAAAGGGTTGGCTAGGATAACCCACTTAAGTTCACTTTGGTGAGCTAATTAGAGCCTTAAGGGCGAATCCAATCCAAATGTTCAATTTTTTACGCTGACATTTGATCTAATACTAAGTAGCTAGAAGGTAATTGCCACGACATAACATCCACGAAAGGAAACCCAGACAGGGCCAGGGCGGGCAAACCCGCTGAGAACAGTAACAAGGAATGCCTTACAAGGCACGTACAACGGCAATTGGAAGACTCAAGGTCAAAAAAAAAATATGTCGGGTTGTCTTCTTATTCAGTGGGTCAAGCATGAGGTTACATTACAGCTGCCATGTGCTGACCATTGATCATTTGTCTTAAGATACGAATCCACCCGACATTGAGTAGAAGCCAAATGTATGTACAAAACAAATAAAAACAGCAAATACACCGAGTTATTCATCACTTTGTGATCCTGACAAACAAAACAAAACAAAGAAAACATGCTCTATGACAATGCAAAGCACCAGAAATCTCCAGCTCGACCCCAGGGTTTCATTAGGCCGCAGAAAAACAATAAGGTACTCAACGTCTGTTTAATGAAAAGAGATAAAAAAAAAAAGATTTCCCATTTACATAGTATTAAACTTCCTATTTACCTCAATGTTGTATGAACTCTCACACGATGTTTTCATCGCTATTTTGCCAGAAACGGGTGTATGTAAACTAAGTGCCGCTCTCGCTAAGAGGAGTTCTCTCCACTTCCCGTTTTCTTTCATTTTTTGCCTATGAAAAGGGTTTAAGACACATGTTTCAAAAATAGTTTAGTTGTTCTCCAATTCTCTTTTTTTGCGTCGCCTCAAGCCAAAAAATGATTTTTGGCTAGACCACCCGTGTGGAAAGTAATCGAAAATGTAAAGTACACAGATTTTGTCCAGCGCGTAGCGACTGTAATAATATGGCTCACGGAATTGTTACAAGTTACAAGATGTATTGAGTTAGTTCACAGACAAGATATGGAAACTTCACCTGAAATATTTTTCATACCAGCGTGATCAGAGGAGACCCTTCTCTTCGACCTTAGTTTGCACATCAAAAATTCATCAATTTGTGCGTAGTTCATGACCTGATATTTCAATGAAAATTATCGAGGAAGCGCTTCCGATCACCTTTGTTTACTTTGTAACTCACACAAGCGCGCAAGCGTCACGATCGATCACGTTTACGCAACGTTTTAGGACAACTTGGCATCTATTCTCTATTCAGTTGTTATGAAAACCTAAAATTCTCAACGAAGAAGATAAAAGAACGAAGTTTGAACGGTCAACAGGAGATCTTGGTCAATTTTCAGAGTTATGCAAATGTCTTTGACACGAGCGCAATTGAGCGAGCACACGGATTTGCATTGTTTTCAATATGTTGGTGGATGAAAATTAGAGATATACCCGCGAGTTTGAGGCAATCGGTGACCTCATTGGTATATAAGCTATGCACTGATACGCCTTTTTTAGCCCGATTAACGCCTACATTTTGAGCATTCATTTTGAGAGAGGACCGCGCTTAGCGAGAGCGGCACTAAACATCTTATATCAATTTTGAAAAAATGTTGCGACTTATACCCGAAAGAAGCACTTTAGCACTTCTCCCGTCTAAATGCCTCACCTTGGAGGTAACTTGTGCAAGAGAATGGGATGTTATACACGTAGAACAATCCCTAAGTGACAAGAATGTCTAATCTCATCTATTTTCAGCTAAAGAACGTGTTGGGCTAAAGACGAACCTAAAGACCTTTTTCATAAGCATAGGCAGGATTATAATTCTTTTGTGAAAGTGAAAATTAGCCCTGTCGGCCCCGCTTTTGCGAGAAATTTTTTTATTCAAACCATATCGTCCAAGCTAGGGGGTTTATGTACACGCCCGCCATTTATGAAAGAGGTCCGTAGCGCAAATGATTTAAAATTAAAAGGAAATTAAAAATTTCACGAGAGTGACCCCCTCCTAAAACTCCCAGCGGCAAGTAAACTTAAATAACTTTTAACTGGCAAGTTCTCACGACCTCTAAACCAACTAAATGGTGTTAGAGACGAAACTGAAGGGTGTGAAATACCCTCTAGGGGATAGCCTAAAATATCAACGATATTTGCACAGTTAATG